TCAGTCTATTCCCACTGTGCCTCATTTTTGCAGATGTAATGGGGATGTCTTGCACTACCCAGACTGAGCTGCTTTCAGAGACATCATAGAATCATGGAATGGCTTGGGTTGGAAGGCAATTTAAATATCATTTTCTTCCAACTCTGGTGCCATGGGCAGAGGTTCCTTTCACTGGACCAGACTGCTCAAAGCTCCCTCCAGCCTGGCCTTGAACATTCCTAGGGATGGGGCATCCACAACTTCTTTGCGAAACCTGTACCAATACCTAATCCCCCCTAACAGAAGGGAATTTCTTCCTAATACCTAATCTAAAACTACTCTCTTTCACTTTGAAGCCATTCCCCTTGTCCTGTCACTACATGCTCTTGTAAAAAGTTTCTCTACATCTTTCTTCTAGGCTCTCTTCAGGTGTTGGAAGGGTCACAGTTAGGTCACCTTGAAGCTTCTCTTCTCCAGGCTGAACATCCCCATTTCTCTCAGCCTTTCCTCAGAGGAGAGCTGTTCCATCCCTCTGATCATCTTATTAACTCTCCCCTGTACTTGCTCCATCAGTTCCATGTCCTTCCTGTGCTGGGACCCCAGAGCTGGATGCAGGGTTCCAGGTGGGCTCTCACCAGAGCAGAGCAGAGGGGCAGAATCCCCTTCCTGGCCCTGCTGCCCACACTGCTTTGGATTTTTTCAAATGTGTTTCCAGGACACATTTGACTTTCTGGGCTGTGAGTGCCCATGGCTGGGTCATGTCCAGCCTCTCATCCCCCAGCACCCCCAAGTCCTTCTTGGCAGGGCTGCTCTGATCTGTTCATCCCCAGCCTGAGCTGGTGCTGGGGCTTGCCCCGACCCATGTGCAGCACCTTGCACTTGGTAAACATTATGAGGTTCCCACTGGCCCAATTCTTGAGCTTGTCCAGGTCCCTCTGAATGGCATCCTGTCTTTCATTTGTCAGCCACATCACTCATCTTGGTGTCACTTGCAAATTTGCTAAGAGTGCACTTGATTTGACTATGCCATTAATAATGATGTTAAATAACACCATTCCTAATACAGAGCACTGAGGAACTCTGCTTGTCACTGTTGGATTGCTGGGCTGTTTATTTTTCTCAGCTTTGTTATTCCCCAGTCTTGATGCTTAGAAGTCCTCATACTTACACGCAGCCCATTACCCTGATGGAATTCAGTTCTGGGACTTTTCCCTGCTCCTTGGAGAAGGATGTTCGAAGTATTTGTCCACAGAAGGAACTCATGAATGCATAAGTAGGAATCTGATCCTTTAAAATGGATTTGAGACCTTCCCTCTCCTCAAATGGTGTCTGTTGCCTGATCTTGATGCTTACTTCCTATGTCATCTGAGGCACAATCTTGAGTAATACCACTGTTGTCTTTGCTGAGTCAAAGTAGAGACCTAAGAGAAGACAATGGCTGTCAAAGTCTTACCAGCTAACACCACCCATTTGTCCTCAGAGAATCCTTTAGTCTGGAAAAAACCCAGGAACATCAAGCCCAGCCATTAACTTAGCCAGGTCTACCAGTAAACCCTATTCCTAAGAGCCACATCTACATGGCTTTTAAATACCTCCAGGAGTGGGGAATTCAACCATGTCCCATGGGCAGCATGTTCCAATCTTTTACAACCCTTTCTGTAGAGAAATTCTTCTTAATATCCATTCTAAACCTCCACTGGTGCAATTTGGGACCATTTCTTGTCATCCTTTCAAGGAGAAAAGACACCCCCAGCTGGCCACACCCTCCTTGCAGGTAGTTAGAGAGAGTGATAGGGTCACCCCTGAGCCTCCCCTTCTTCAGTATAAACAACCCCAGTTGCCTGAGCCACTCCTCCTAGGACTTGTGCCTCAGATTTTTCACCAGCTCCATTGTCCTTCTCTGGACACATTCCAGCAATTCAGTGTCTTTCCTCTAGTGAGTGTAGTGTAGTGAGTACACTCACTACTTACTATTCATGCAGTGAGTACACTCACTACTTACTACTCGTGCAGTGAGTAGTGAGTGTAGCCCAAAAGCAAGCACAGAGTGGCCTCACCAGTGATGAGCACGGGCCATGATCCCTGCCCTGGCCCTGCTGGCCACACTCTTGCTGGTACAGGCCAGGATGCCCTTGGCCTTCTTGGCCACCTGGGCACAGCTGGCTCATGTTCAGCCAATGGTGACTGCATCCTTGAGTTCTTTGCCTTGGGCCCCTTTCCAGACACTCGCCCCCAGCCTGCAGCACTGCCTGGGCTGTTGTAACATGTTGGGTCCCCAGAGGACAGTCCTGTACCTCCTGCTCTGAGGGAGCCCATGTTCTCAGCACTCATGGGCTGAATTATGGCAAAACAACGCTGTGTGATTAATTAAAAAGTTTTACTTATGGTAGGAAGGATCTAAATCTTATGGTAAATTGAAAGGTCTGTGGCAGCAATGATTTAAACTTTTCTGGACAGCCACAGATTAAACTTTTCTGAACAGCATGCGACAATGGTGATTTTTGAACAGCCTGCAGCAGCAGTGATTCAAACTTTTTAAGCAGAGGAAGAAAGGAAGAAGGAGAGTTAGGAAAGTAGAAGTAAAGAAAACAGATCTGTGTTACCACTCAGGGCACCAGTACTGCCTCTGGTCTCTTTCCTCTGGATGGCAGGTGCATGGATGATGGATGCATACCTTCACTTCTCCCTGTCACACCATTTATAGACTAGTCCTTGCAGGTGCATCTTGTTATTCCCAAACTTTTCAGAAGGGGTTGAATGGTCTCAAGGTTTCAAATCTGTTCTTAAAAATAATTACTCAAGATAAAGAAGCTGGTCCCAGAGAAGCACTATGCTGCTTCTGCAAGACCCTCTTTTCTAACCACATCTTATCTAGTTGGCATGGTAACATTCCTTTTCTGTTCTGTCAAATGTTTGAGACATTAGCTCTTTCAGGTTAAGTCTTTCAGGCTTTCAGTCTCTCACACGAATGAAGGGCAGGACTTGGCATTTGGCCTTGTTGAACCTCATGCCATTGGCCTTAGCCTATAGGTCCTGCCTGTCCAGATCCCTCTGCAGAGCCTTCTGACCCTCTGGCAGATCAACACTCCTGCCCAGCTTGGTGTCATCTGCATACTGAGTAAGGCTGCACGCAATTCCCTCATTCACATTATTCATAAAGATACCAAACAGGGCTGACCCCAATACTGAGTCCTGGTGAGCCCCAGCTGGATCTAACTTCATTCACCAACACTCTTGGGACCCAGCCATCCAAGCAGTTCTTTACCCAGTAAAGAGAGTACCTGTCCAAGCCACAAGCATCCAGTTTCTCAGGAGAAGGCTTTGGGAGATGGCATCAAAGGCATTAGAAAAGTCCAGGTAGACACATCCACAGCCTTTCCTTCATCAACTAACACGTCACCTTGTCATAGAAAACAATCACTTTGGCCAAGTGGGACATGGGACCTGCGTTTCACAAATCCTGGCTGACTGGGCTTTATCCTCTGGTTGTCTTGCACTTGCCTTAGAATGACATTCCAGATTATCTACTCTGTGACTCCTCTGTCACCGAGGTCAGGCTAATGGGCCTGTAGCTCCCCATATCCTCCTTCCAGCCTTTCTTATAGTTGGGGGTAATATTTGCTAACTTTCAGTCTTTTGTGACCTCCTTGGTTAGCCAGGGTGGCTTGTAAATGATGGAGAAGTGGCTTAGTGATGACTTCCTTCAGCTCTCGCAGAACCCATTCTGATGTAGAACTCTGCTGACTCCATCCCCTTCTTACACCTACTTCCAGAAAACCTTTCATCACTCTGGTAAAGTACTGCCTACCTGTGATACATTTCTTGGCTCTGGTACTTATTGACTGTTTTAAATATGGAACTGGGCAGTGACTGGCTTGGACAGACCCTCTCCATTACTGGGCTCTCCCTGCTGCTGAGGATGCTGAATGTCTGTTGTGCTCCAGCTTGTCTTTTCCTGACCCTTCTTAAAAAATAAATTTGCTTCAGATTCCTGAAAACAGCATGCCAAGTGGCTGGAACATGTGTTACATCTACACAAGGACCCCTTGATGTTGTTGGTTATTTTTTACTTCTGAATTTCTGTTCTTACCACTATACCTAATACTTTGCAATGTGAATTCTCTCTTCTTCAGCTTTACACGGACTTTTGAGAGCCTTGTATATTTTGCTAAAATGTATCACTAATACAGTGTATTCAAGTCTCAGGCTCCTGCCCACTCAGCATCACTCCAGAAGCAAAGTGCAATATTAATACTTTAATAGCTCCTATACTGACTGCTTCTCATGGCTGACTGCCAATGGTCTAAACAGATCTGCACAGCAGCGGAGAAAGTACTTCTGAGGTAAGAAAGTGCATTTCCTTGTGCCAGGCAGCAGACTCTCTGCCTGTACCAAAGGATTTGGGCAGTGAAATAGGTTCAGGATGCTGAATGTTGGATGGTTGGATGGTCAAGTTTTCTTCTCAGTCTCGTTGTGGTTCTGCAAGGTTGCCCGAGAGTTAAGTAACATTACTTCAGCATCTTCAGTTGCTCTTTTAAAGCAATAGCTGAGAAAAAGCTGACTGTCTGGCCATGCTGATGTTTCTTTGCCCAACTGGTGTTCTGCTGTAAAACTGTTCTGATGTTACCTCCCCAGCCTGGGCTGAACTGGGTGTCCAGCATGGTCTGGGAAGGCTGTTGTTGCCCTCTCCTTTGTTTCCTATGCACAGTAGATAGCCTGCTATAATTATTGCCCTTTAAAAGGAGTTATGTCTTCTGGTGTAATTCCACTGTAGAACAGAGATGGGTGGAAAGAAGGGGAAATCTGGCCTGGCTGGGGTTATCAAGAGCTGCCTCTGTTCCTTTTGCAGCGTCCATGTTTTAAAATGTAAAAGGCGTGTGTATTTCACTAACTGCTTGTATCATATCCAAGCTTTCTTAGCTGGGGGAGGTAAGGGGAAGTATTAATTTCTTTGTGTGTCCAGAAAAAGGAGCTCATTTTTTTCTGGAACAAAAAAGAAATAATGAAATTATTCTTCACAGAAGAGATTACATAGCACATGAAGTGTTGCCACAGAAACCTAAACCATCTGAAAAGCATGTCAAGAGACATGAGAATATGGATTTGACCTCCACTTACCTCCTCCTACACTATATCTCAAGTATCTTCATGTCTCTCCTGGAGGATGAGGAGACATATCCCCAGGACCAAGATGGATATAAGAACCACTTATAAAGGTAAGCTGCCCCTGCAGCTTTGTTCAGGACTTCACAGATAACTTCACTTTTTAAGAAGACAGATCAAAACATTGTGCAGTTTTTATTCTTTCTCTATATGTATGCTAACACACTGTGCAGGAATCATGCAGACAGAAATAGGTAGTTGGTAATACAGCACTGCATTAATGGTAGCATTGAGATCTCTGTGTATTCACCTCCTTTCCATACCTAACAGGCCTACAGGAATCCTCAGCAGAAAGAGGGCCATGGGAATTCCTGTATGTTGATCCCACAACAGGATCTTTATCTTTAGGATGTACTGAACATATTCCTGGTACTGCATAGCTGATCCACACATTCAGTGGATGAGGCATGTCTAAAATATACAGAATTTCCTAGGTCTGAGCAGTTCATGAAGCATGAGACCCTTTCTGTGTTTGCTGTGGAGTTATTCCTTGAATGTGCAAGAGATGTATACAAGAAGTATAGACACAATGCACGAGCTCTACTGCTGGTAAAACAGGTAGGCTGTGCATCTAACTATGTCCTTGTTTCTCAATTGCACTAACTTGGTGGCTTGTCTCTTTGGGAGCTTTTCGCCCTCCTCTTCAGCAGCACTAATTGTCTTCCCCGTGCACTGGGAGAAAACCTTCAGTTACACAGTTAGAGCAACCCTCCTAGTTTTGGTAGGAAGTCATAAGTAGAAAGTCAGAGGATTTTACCTCCCCTCTGCTCACCTTTCTGCTAGCTAACATGGATAGGCAGATAAATAGTTTTGTGTGTTTCTGTATTTCATTTTATTATGCTGTGCAAATATAATAGCTTATGACTGGTGCTTATTACTGCAGATTTGTCCCAATGTACACAGGCAATATTTTCTTGGAAGTGAAAATGATGAAAGAAGTTGGGGAATAAAAGGCATGTGAATGCATCATTAAAATTACCTGGCTGAAATGATTGAAAGTTGTACTTTATTCTAACTGCTGCATGTTTGCAGCTGCATGTTTGCAACAGCATAAACTGCAGTTTGTACATCAAACACACAGGAAATGTCCATTTAGAACGACTTGAATTGTGAAGACTATGACCCACAGGTGCAGAATATCCATATCTACACACTTTTGAACACTTTATTTTGCATAGGCAATGTCACCAGATGGTATTCATTGGAATAACTTTGGTGAAACCAATAAAAAAAGCTGCTATGTGCAAGGTGTGGATCTGTCTTTCTGTGTTTAGATATCCTTAACTTCTCCATATCTGAAACATATGTATATTTTGGTCTTTTTTCAGTGTTTAGGTCAGCACCTTAAGTGTAACTCCAGAGCTCTAATAAAAGGTATTGCAGCCACATTTGGTTACAATTTACAGTATTTTTCCAAACACTGCAAATGGAAATTTTTGTCCAAGCCCCCTCAAAGATCGAGTTGCATACTGAATAAATTCTCTTAAAGGCCCAGATTCAACAAAAATTGCAAGTTTTCATGGCACTGTTCTCTAAGCATTGCTAGGTTTTAGTGATCCCTACTGTCATGGTTTAACCCCAAGCAGCAGCCAAGCCCCAGGCAACCACTCGCTCACTCCCCTCCCAGCAGGATCAGGGAGAGAATCAGAAGGGTAAAAGCTGGAAAACTTGTGGGTTGAGATAAAGACAGTTTAATAGGGAAAGCAAAAACAGTGCACAAAACCAAGGCAAACCAAGGAATTAATTTACTGCCTGGGCAGGCAGGTGTTCAGCCATCAAGAAGAGAGCAGAGCTCCATCACAGGTGACAGTGATTTAGGAAGACTAACACCATCATTCCAAATGCCTGCCCACGATCCTCTTCCCCCCACTTTATGTACTAAACATGGTGCCATATGGTCTGCAATGTCCCCTTGGTCAGTTTGGGTCACTTCTCCTGGCTGTCTCCTCACAACCTCCCAAGCACCCCCAACTTCCTCACCAGCATAGAGAACAGAAAAGCAGGGCTGTGTGTAAGCCCTGCTCAGCAATAACATAAATATCTCTGTATTACCAACTCTCGTGTTCAGCACAAATCCAATACACAGCACTACACCAGCCACTGTGAAGAAAGTTATCTCCACCTCAGCCAAGTGTTTAGAACATTGTATTCAATTAATTATCATAACTAAAGTATTGGAACAGCATCTAAAATAGTGCTGCTCTGGTATCAAGTTACCTTTCCTACTGTATTGTCATGTTCTTTCCCACTGAACACATCATATACCAAATGACACTGTAGGGTTAAGTTGTTGCTATTGCTTATCACAGTTCATGTCAAGTGACTTTGCAACTTAAAGTTTCAAAATTCTCATCTCCTCCAGGCTACACATGTAGCTGTTTCTGCTTATCTTCAGATATGAAACCTAATTTTAATTAAGTCTTGCTTGGTTATAGGGAGATGTGCCTAACCCTACAACAACATATGGTTCATATCCTGAATTCCCTCCTGTACCCCCTAATGTTTTCAAGATTGTGCTACATGGGAAACTATTAATATCTACGGTTAAGAATTAGAGTTGAAATAAAACTGTAACATATTTTGAAGGAATAGTAGCACTGCTGGCTTACACTAAGTAAAACAAATTCATAATGCCTATGAGGTCTCCAAACGTGTAGAGCTTATAAATTTAAAAAATTGAAGACAGATGGACTTGCTTATCATATTTTGAATATTTTGCAAGAGCTGTGGTTACATCCAAAATGCACAGAGTGTTCTCCAACAAAGATGATGGGAGAACCTGAAAAGTTTTTTGGTAGCTCTTGGTTGGCAGCTGAAATGTGAGATCTCTGAACAAACCTCCTCTTAGAGGTGGTCTGAATCTTCTCACTTTTTAACACTTTATTAATGCATTTCCTGTAAAAACCCATCTGAGTATGTTCCTGGTTCACCCTGTTGGAATGTTTCTCCAGGAAAATGATGTACCCTAGGCATGGGCACACGGTCAGCATCTCACCATTGTGGTGGTGCCTGGACATCTCCTACTTCCCAAGGGAAACAGGAGTGCCCAATTCTGATTGGATTGAAGAATTCAAATATCCTGATGCAAATGCCCTAATTGCATCATTTACTCTATAGCACTTTGACATCTAGACTTCCTTCCTGTGCAGAGTCAGCTGGAAGCTTATTTGCCTCATGATTCTTAGTGTGGTTTGAAAGGAAGGAAAATTATAACAAGAAAAAAAACCCCACCCCTTGGGTTAGATCCAAGACTATTTCATTTCAGCTTCCTACCAGTAACCATAATGGTCTCTAGGGAAAGTTGCACAAAATTACTAGTAAGGGGAAAAAACGATGGTCTTCCTCAGCACTGGTCAAAGAGTTAGGCAGTTTTGCCATAGATTCCTGGTGTGACAGCACAAATCTTTCAGATTACAGGGCCTCATTTATTTCCCTGATATCCTGTCAAGAAAGGAACATATGAATGCCCCTAAAATACCACCTAAAATGTTTTCTTAGTCATAAATTTGGATACAAGATTTCTGGAATATGGGCTGTTTCTTCAATATAATTCAGTGTTTGGCATTAGTGCAGACTTATTCTGCAAATTCCAGCACAGTTTTTCTAATAATGAAGAATTGGGTCAGAGTTGCAAGTTCTTTCTCAGCTTCTGTTTGTTCTGAGAGCAGGAGCATCAGGGAGAGCAAAGCCAAGGGCCGAGGAGATGCAACACAGCACAGCTTGCTAACAGCAAGATGAGCTGCAAGCCTCTGAACTTGGCAAACCATAGGCAGCATTCCAGCTGTGCAGCTGAGGAATTGGGTCAGCCACCAGGCCAAGTGAGAAGGTAGAAAGAGGAGGGGTGGCACTGCAGCTCAGCCTTTAGAGTGGAATGGTGGATGTCTGGTTCTCCTTGTCCTAGAGATGCTGTGTGAGACATCCAAACCTTCTGCAGACAGGGGCATACTCTGTGCCCAGAGCCAGCCACAGCACAGCAGCCAGAAGGTGTTTGAAGTAGCTACATGCTACACCTCCATGATTCCTGGTTACCGAGCATGAGGATGGCACCCACTAAGTTACCTGCAGAAAATGTCTCTGTGAGACTGAGAATATAATTGAATCTTCCCTCATGGTATTTCACGGTCTCTGTAGGCATGAGTGGGTACAGGTCTGTTTGATTCAACTTTCTGTGTAGATGCACAGCATTTCCGGGGTGTAACACAGTAGTGTATAATGTATTCTACAGCTGCTCTTTGAATAAGATTTGTGAAACACTACATCACAAACAAATATTTATTGAAGTAGAAAATGTAATGATCATAATATTGATATATGGCTGGACTTGTCAAAGGATTTCAGTTGAGCATTTCAATATGATTCCTCTTTCATTTCAGATGACTGTGTGTTACAGAATGAACAAAGACAGAGCAGATCAGACCAAACAATAGGTTTGCTCCATCAAAAGAGAAATTTTACCACAGAACCATTGTCCAGAATGACAGTTTCTACAGGGGACTGGTTGCCACTCAAAGCTGTAAACCTCTGAATCTGGGCCAGAAAAACAAGGCTCCCTTTGAGTACATAACCAATTACAGAATGAATTATGGATGGGCAGAGTCCAATAAGATGACGTTTAACAAGTCCAAGTGCCAAGTCCTGTATATTGGCCACAATAACCCCCTGCAGCATTACAGGCTGGGGATGGTGTGGCTGGACAGTGCCCAGAAAGGGACCCAGGGGTGCTGGTCCACAGCCGGCTGAACATGAGCCAGCAGAGTGCCCTGGGGGCCAAGAAGGCCAAGGGCATCCTGGCCTGTGTCAGGAACAGTGTGGCCAGCAGGAGCAGGGAGGTCACCCTTCCCCTGTACAGCACTGGTGAGGCCACACCTCGAGTGCTGTGTCCAGTTCTGGTCCCTCAGTTTGGGAAGGACCTTGAGATGCTTGAGTGCGTCCAGAGGAGGCAACAAGGCTGGTGAGGGGCTTGGAACACAAACCCTGTGAGGAACGACTGAGGGAGCTGGGGTGGCTCAGCCTGGAGAAAAGGAGACTCAGAGGTGCCCTTATCACTCTCTACATTCTCCTGAAAGGTCGTTGTAGTCAGGTGGGAGTCAGTCTCTTTCTCCAGGCAGCAACTGACAGAACTAGAGGTCACAGTCTAAAGCTGTGCCAAGTGAAATATAGGTTGGATATTAGGACTTTTTTTTTTATGGAAAGAGTGATAAAGTACTGGAATGGTGGTGGAATCACCATCCCTGGATGTGTTTAAAAAAAGGTTGGATACGGGACTTGGTGCCATGGTTGAGTTGAGGTTTTAGGGCATGGGTTGGACTCGATGATCTTCAAGGTCTCTTCCAACTTAGTGATTCTGTGATGTGCCACCTCCTCTGGTGAAACATTATGTCCATAAAATTCAGATATATAAGGTCAATTATGTTTCATTTGATGGCCTCACTACACACAAATTTTTTTACCAGGGGTGGGCTGGTCAGCCAACTAAGCTTCCAAAACCATACCAGACAAAACCAGCCCCCGTTTTCCCTTCTCCACTACAACTGAATTTCAGGAAAAACACAAAGCTTGACTACAGCCTCCTATATTCACCAGAAAACCTGATATTTATCTTCCTCCTCTGGAGAAAATGGACATTCACACCACTACTTGGACACATTGAAAGCACCTAAATGAAAAGCCAGCCAAGATGTGTCAATCTGTGGCCCAGCTTAATAAAATTACTGAGCCATTTAACAGCTCTTCTATAGTGAAGGAAGACTATAAGCCTTGGCTATGAAACAGACTAAAACCCATCACTCATGCTCCAGACTTTCCCAGGAAAACTAATAGATTTCTTGGCTACATTTTGGACCCATCATGGACCTCATTCTCTCACAGTTATGTAAACCTACAAGCCTGTCTGGTCAAGCCCAAAGCATCACAATCTCCCAGATGCTAAAACAACCTACACTGCCAGTTACACACCAAAGGGCTTTGCTAGATGCCTGGCCCCTTGCAAAGACCCATCCCAGTTACATCTTTGAGAAAACTGATGCTGACAGCTTGATTTTGTTTGGTAAACAAACTTCTTTTAAACCAGTTGCTGTTTTCATATTTGGAGAACTCTTAAAATAAACTTAATTCCCTGGCACTGACTTTTTCTGGTAAATTTATACAAGTGAAGAACATAAAATCCAGGGAAAAGACATATTGATTTTTGTTTCTCTGTATTTTTTTTTTCATACCTAACTCTTGCTTATTGATTGAGAGATGTCCTCCTCCTGAGACAGTAATAGAAAGATCTCTTAGTAATAAACTTTATTATTGATGAAAAGGGTGGCATAAAAACAGAGGTAAAACAGGTGAATTGCCTGATGTGAAGTCACATGTAAAAGTTATTGCTGGATAACAAAGTCTGATATCTGCCCTTTTCCCGTATTCCCATCAAAGACACATACAAAAGGTACAATTACTGTATAAATATTATTTAATATTGCACCTTCATAAATTGTGTCACGGTGCTGTCCAGAACTAGGCTTGGGAGGTTTGTGTGCCAAAGATGCCACCCTAGGCTGACATCTTGTAAGAGAAGTTTTTCAGTAAAAGCTCTTCACTTCAGGGTTCTGGATAGGTACCAGAAACATCAAAGAGTTTAAATTGTCACATGTTGCTATAGCTCAGCCAGCAGCCAGAGTTGCATTATGTTTTGAATAAGGCCATTATTAAGCTTCTGACCCTAACTGTTCGTTTCTTTGTCCAAAGTGCTTTCTGTAGGCTTATGAGTGTTCTATTAGCACTCTGAAACTTCCTGACTTCTTAAGCACATTCTACTTTCCTAAATCCTCCTCTCCCTTACTCCTAGCAGCTCTGGCTGTTTCCTGAGTATTTAGCTCAAGTGCTCGGTAAAGTTGTTGCACGCTTGACGATTCTTGTGGGTCCTTTCCAACTCAGGGTATTCTATTTTTATATGACTCTATGATTCCGTGAAAGGCTTGTGTCTGACCATAAAGCAGCATTTAAAGAGGAAGATAATTTTCTGTGTAAAGTGATTTTAAAAATTTGGAAAAGCTTTGAAACCTGTTGGGATAAAAATTCTTCCTAAGTGCTGGCAAGTTAAAGCTAAACACATTCCATCTGAAAACAGGAATGCTTAACCCTAAGGGTGGGAAGCCACTGGAACAATACCTTAGGGGCACCGTGGTTCTGCTTCCCTTGAAGTCCTTGAATCAGTCCTACAGGCCTTTTCTAAACATATGTCCTAGTTCAATGAAAAATTATGTTCCTTACAACAGGAAAAACAAGGCAAATCTCTACAGGTTACACTATACAAAAGGGCCAAACTATGCAGTCATTGATGACTTCACACAGCCTTCAGAAATTCAGTAATCTGTAAAATATTCACTCACCTGTGGTGAGGTATTGACCTAGAGTATGTTTGGCCTTTTTTTTTTCAGCTCCTCTTATTTTACCAGCCAGTCTTTTTGAATCTGCATTTCTTTAATATTGAATTTCTACAAGAAAGTACTTTTTCTTCCCCATCTCTTTTTCACTAGTTGTTTTTCTGATTTTATTTATCAACATGTAATTCTGCCAATTCTGAAATAGAATTTATATGAAAAGAACAGCTGAGGCTTGTGACTGCAGAAAACATTGGTCTTTTATGCATAAGAGCTCTACAACTATCCTTTCAACTCTTTGATATGTGACTGGCAGGGAACACAGAGCAAGGAGAGTCTAGTATTTAAATTTATCTTTATTACAGGTTTGTGTGGATCTTTCTTGCTAGGTGGAATTTAGTCTTATCAAGCTCAATAGCAATGCAATAAGCCACTTAACAATAGTAATTGATGGATTTTGAATGTTAACAATGGGAATCTTGATTTTCCATGCTGTGGACCAGCTCAAGCAGACCTGACTGGTTTAAATCCAATACTTTCAGAGCATGAGACACAGCTGTGGGTTAGTTTTTTTTTTTTTTTTCTGTTTTGTACCTCTATGTGTTAAAAACTTATTAAAACCAATATATGATAACACTCCAGAAAAAAAGTGATTTCTGTTTTGTGACTTAGGGTGTGGTTCCACAGAATTTAAGGCCGATTAAAGCTTGGGCTGCTGCAGTTTCACATTTTGTTCTCCTACAGCTGCATGGTTTCCCATTGTCCCTCTTTTGATAATAACATTAATGCTGTCTGACTGCATGATGGGCTAAATCAGAAGGCTTACCTGGCTGGGTGGAAATCAGTAATTTAGGAAGATTAAAACCCATTTATTTAATTTCCCTGAATGAGTGCATGACACAGACATGCAGTTATCAACTTAGGTGCAGATGGTCAGTGAAAAATCACAGGGATCTGGTAGCCCAGACTTGACTTGGCAGTCCTTCCTTTGCTCAGTAGTGCATTTAAAGTAAAGCAATATTTTCTATGTCTGAAGTTGAACTTTGTTTGAATTAGGCAGTGTCATTAGAAAATCAGCATAATAAAAATTATATAATTTGGGATAGAATAAAATTATACTTTGGGATAGAATTGAGATGTTTAACACAGAAAATAAAGTTGGGCTGCTCTACAGTACACAGGATTTGGTTATTGTTTTCATGCAGAATGAGTTATGGATAAAGATGATTTTACCTGATGTTCACGCCAATTAAAATTGATTTTTTCTTAGAGTCATCACATTCTCAGAAAGAGAGAAGTAGAAGTCAGTCATCCTGAGAAAGAGCTTAAAATGTCACTGAACTGCACTACAGGCTTGTGTAATTGCTTTAGAAGTTCCATAGTGCAGGAGGAGGAGAATGAAACTACCTGCATGCATGGCAGCACCAGGCACTAGTGCTAGATAAGCAGGAACTTGTTCAGAAACATCTCAGGTGCTCTGTAGAGATTTTGCCTGTTTTATGGGAGAGTAGGGAGCTAAAAAAGACTACCTGCCTGGGGTCCTCAGAACCAGAGAGACACAGAGCTGCTGGAGCTGGTCCAGTGGAGATGACAAAGATGATGGGGAGACAGGAACATCTCTCCTGGGAGGAAAGGCTGAGGGAGCTGGGCCTGCTCAGCCTTGAGCAGAGATGACTGAGAGGGGACCTCATCAGTGTCTGTGAGTGTCTGAAGGGAGAGTGTCAGTGGATGGATCCAGGCTCTGCTCAGCAGTGCCAAGGGACAGGACAAAAAGCAATGGGCACAAACTGACACACAGGAAGCTCCACCTGAACATGAGGAAGAGATTCTTTATTGTGCAGTGTCCAAGCACTGATTGAACAGAAGGGTTGTGGAGTCTCCCTCCCTGGGGATATTCATTGAGTCTGGGCACCATCCTGTGCCATGTGCTCTGGGATGACCCTGCTAGAGCAGGGAGGTCAGACCAGATGACCACCCCCTTTGGTCTCTTCCAACCTGTCCTGTCCGGTGGTTCTGTGACCTTGCACTCATGATGCAGCACAATACAACACTTCTCAGTCAGTGAACAAATGGGTGGAAAGAAGGAAACAGCTGTAGTCAACATCCTACTTTTGAAGACTGGATAATGGCATCAATACCTAAACATTGGCTGAAGTACAAAGCCTCCTATCAAAAAGTGTTTCAAGGACCAAAATGAAAGGATGAAACAAAGGGACTTTGTCCTTGGAAGGGTTGAAAAAGGCATCCAGGGTACTTACACCATGAAGCATGCAAAAAAGAACAAGGAGGATTGTGCTAAGTAATAATGGATGAAAAACATCATTGTCAAAGTCAGTTACTACACTGTGACTGTTGTCAATGACAAATGCCACCTATGCACAGGAACAGGTTCATGTATGTGCACTGCAGAGGCTGCTTGGAGGGATAGCTTCTACCTGCATCCCTGAAATTACACAGGAGGTGTACTCACCAGCACTACTGATCTCCAGGCAAAGCATAATCTGTTTGGCAAGCCTTAAGCACAAAAGCTGAATTAAGAAGAGACGTGCAAATTAAATTTTAGAAGCGTTGTAGGTTAATAGAAGGTTATGAATATTTTCATAGCCAGGAGGAAGGCAGCACTACAGTTCCTCACCGGGAAAAAGCTGAGCAAAATTATTTAATTTGTCTGTTCTCAGTGAGAAACAAAATTAAAGAACCCCAGAAGTTACCTGTAATAATGAGGGAGTAAATAATAATTCAGTTTTGACTTGTATTATATCAGTCTTTCAACCACCTATGTCTGCAAGGACTACCAACCTTGGTGCCTTACATCTGCAGGAGGCATTTCATCTGGAGGTTTGCAGTTGGCAATAGTTGAGAGGTCAAAAAACCCCAGTAAATTATGTACTTATGGTCTAGAAATATGAACCAGCAGCAAATTTGTGAAAAACTTTACCACAAATTCTAAAAAAGGCTTCACCCTTTAGTGAAGTATTCATTACTAAGGAGAGTAAATTGTCAGCACCTCAAGTGTTTCAGGACTTGAAAGATAAGTGGTATGCTTCAGCAAGAACTGAGTGTGCTCATATCACAGAGGGAAGCAATATAGATCTTGGGCATGGTATTCAGGAGACAGGAAGCAGCTGAATTTAATGTGTGAAAAAGCAAACCTTTTCTTTGAAAGACAAAAAAAAAAAATCTTTCCTGAGGCATGGATATGATCTCCCTGAGGGATCTGTGTTATCTCAGCTGGAAAGAGACATTTTGGCAGAGAACTGAGTTCATTGGGATGGGAAACTTCCATAATGAATATTCTGAACAGGGTTCACTTTTGGCTGATCCCTCTAAAAATGAGTCTTCTCCCTTCTGTAGTAATGTCTCTCTGCCCCCTTCCCCCTTTGGAAGCAGATGTTTGATGACCTGTTCTCCTCTTCTGGTCTTTTGGGGAAATACTCCTTTGGGGCAATATGATTTTCACTTCTCTATGTTGTTACGTGTCTGTCCCACAGAGGTTTTTGTCTGCATTCAGAAGGGAAGGAGTAGAGTAGCTCTAAAAATGGCAATGCTGCGTTCATCTCTGCATTCCCTGTTGCCACTATCTCACTGGTTCTGTGCTTGCTGGTGAGAACTGTCCCCAGACTGGTGAGAGGGCTCATGTGGCACTGCCTAACACCATGACACAGGCTCAAGCATACTGCTTTGCTGGGCAAGCAGGCCCCTGCTCTGCTTTGCTCTCTGCTTAAAAAAAAAAAAAAA